CAACAAAAAAGACCAAGCAGCAAAAAACACGGGTTCCAAATCGTGTATAAGTAACCCAAAGTTTTACATAAATACGATGTATAGACCCTAAACCCTAGAAGCCCAAGCCCTAAAGCCTTCATTATGCATGCCCCTGCTCCAAGGTTGCCCCTGGCACAGGACAGGCATCCCATTCCTGCGTCGTCCAGTGGATTTGCTTTCTGGTTTTGGGGGGGTGTTGGGGTCTAGGGCTTTTGGATTTTGGTGTGAGGGGGCGCTGTGTCCAGGAGTTGAGGTGTGTTTTCTTCAGTGGTTGAGATAGGTAAATACTACAGCACAAGGGAGAATGTAAAAAAATACTCGTCATTGGGGCTATAATATTGCTATGTAGAATAACACTCATGAGCTTGCAGGATTAAATTTTTCTAGTTCTTAGTAGGGAATAAATTAGCAAGGGAATCTTATCCGTATATCATCCCTAAACAATATATTCCCTTTCCCTACTAACCCTACGTAGACCCTAGACCCTAAAACCTCTATATATATATATGTAAATTAGAGAAGAATCCGTGAATACTGCCTGTGTAATCTATTGCCCAGTTCCCTGCCAAACCCCAGTACGCTGGGGTGTAGAGCTTTCATATTAAGGCTAAAGGCTGACAGCTTGAAGCTCTCCTGGAAGCCCCTCTTCATCCCTCCACATCTTGGATTTGAGCAGCTGACACTTTTCCGACCAGCCAGCTTTCAGCCAACGCATCTGAAGGGGAAGGGCCCGACTGTGTCCTGTAGCGGCCGCAGTGTTGGTGCTTCCGATTGTTCACTCGGAGGTGCCTCCACTGATGTCGTCCCCATGCCAGTGTGCAGCCCCTCATCAGGACTGATGACTGTAAGGCCAACCGACACGCTTTGTCCAGCAGCCAACTCCATTTCCACCAACGGCTCAGCAACCCTGCCTTGGAGTGCAACTTGAGTGCGCAGTCTGGGCCTCTTCGCTGCTATGGCTGGGGAGGTGCCAAATGCAAATAGCGTGACCTAATGTTTAAATCGGGCTTCTACACCTTGAAGCCTGGCTTGTACAGGCTTCCTTGTGCTTCTTCAGGCTGTTATACAACCTGCTAGGGGCTTTCGAAAAATAGTGGCAATAATCCACTAAAGGGAATTCTGATTTTCGGAGATTCGGAAAGCCCCTTCTCATGTTTTGGGCGCTTCAGTCGCGAGAGCTCTTTGAACACGTGAGTCGCCGCCTCCTTGTCCCTACTCTACTGCGGACGTAGCGCTGCATGCTCGCACGCGATGTCAGCGCCGCGTGAGCTCATGCTGGCGCCCTCGCCGCAATCTGCAAGGGGTCTCGTGCAAGTCCTGGAGGAAGAGCTCGGCGTACTCCTCCTCACTCTCGCAGCCAGGATCCCCCTCAGACGCATCACGCAGCTCCTCCGCCTCCACGTGCAGGCGCTGCAGGGCGTCATCCACCATTCCATCCTTCTCGAAGAAGAAGATGTGGTGGGTTGGTGGCAGCGGCCAGCATCACAGCAGTTGTCGCCGGGCGGGGTGGTTGGAGGTGTGGAGGCAGGGCTTGGGCCGGTGCTGGAGGATGGTCTGGAAGATGTTGTTCGCGGAAGGAATGGAAAAAGAACGCGGAAACAACTACAAAAGGGTGCGGATTACCTAGAGATACTTAGAGGCTATTATGAGGATCCATTCCGTCATTCCTTGCTAACCAATGGTCACGTAAGCATAAGTCCATACTAGAGCCGAAAACAGGGCCTCTGTACTTGGCTCTTGTTGGGTTAGGAAGAAAAAAGGATGCTTTTAGTTGTTGTATAGGGAACCCCGAACCATACCAAGCACAAAGGTTCCAAAATCCTGCACCCTTAACCATCTGAAGCACTATGCAATCCCAGTTTCCATTTCATGTTCCTTTTCCTTTCCATTTCATGTTCCATTATCCTCTACAGTTGGCTCTCTATGCCCTAAACCCCTGAAGCCGAATCCCTAGCGTCCCCTCTCCCTCCCGTTCCCTTCGGTGTTCTCGCAGTTTAGTAACAGGAGAAGGCCGTAAAGAGGGCCTGCCAGGTGCGGCAGACTAAATATGCACCTTTCATCTGAAAATCACCCTCATCCCTAAACAAAGATATACATGCATACATACATACATACATACATACGTACATGCATACATACATACATACATACATATTCCGCGTAATAATCGGCGTAATACATGGTAGTACTATATTGGGGGGAGGGCTTTTTCCATAAAAGGAGGTGGTGAGGTTTATTGTTAGGCGCTCTCGCCATGCGCTCTGAGGCGTTTGGCGAAAGCATTGAGGATTTGTGGTGCAGCAAAAGCATAGGGTTTAGGGTTTAGGCGTGCATCCAAAAAATAGGGTCCCTTTTTGTGAGGCCCCATAATGAGCACTACTTGTGTGTGTGTTTTTTTTTTCGCGGGTATATGAAGCCACCTATGGAAGAATGCAGATCAGCAGTCATTGCGCTTGTGACTGGCTCAGGTTGTAACTGCTGAAATCATCCCAGTGTAGTTCTTGACAGGACCCCTATAATCTCAAGAGATCCCTGCCGCTTTTTTCAGGATTGCAGCCCCTGGCAGGCGAAGGTCAAACAAAGTCATGTTGGGCCATAGGGTTTTAGAGTATATATAGGGCTTACATAGGGGTTATATATGGGTTACTTTGGGAGAATGGAAAGGAAAATGGAAACGACTACTACAGGGGCCTAGATAATTACCAATCTCATTTTGAGGTCCATGTGAGGTACCATAGACCATAATTATATAAGGAATATGGAACCATAATATTGGTAAATATTTAGACCCCTATATTATTTAGGGTTTACCTTAGACCCCAAAGACCTTCAGTTTTAGGATTTCATATAAAGAATTATGTGAATTATGCTATAGGGTCCTAAAACTGAAGGTCTTTGGTGTGTAGTAAGGTAGGGTTTAGGGTACGAGACTTAAAGTTGGCACGGCTGTTGCTCACGCTTAAGCTTTGCTCTCTACTACACCTCCTAGTCCTCGCTGAATTCCATATTTGGGGTACCAGTTAATGGCTAAGGGAGTCTTTATGTAGCTGGATACTCTCACACCTTGCACAACTGTTCTGGAAGGCAAATTAACATCGGAAAACCAAATTTTGGAATTATCAATGTTCTAGAATCATCGACATATCACATCGCTAACCATATTGGGGCTACAAGCACATCACTGCTTAATCTACACCGTCAATGTGGCCACATGTGATTTGCACTTGCACGCATGAATTCCGTGTCCTTCCGTTCCACGATTTCCCTCGCAATCCTGTGTGCAGTAGTGCCCATCTCCTGGTTCAGGTACAACAGCGCAGCTTAGGTGGATCATCCTACATTGGTCAGACACCTACCGTAGGTTACCTAGAAGACTTCTGTAGGCTTCAATTTCCAGGATGCTGATCTTCAGCATATGCAAGAACCACAGGCCGCAAGAAAAAAATGTGTTGAAACTTGGGATCCCCTCTACAAGGACCTCGTGCTTGCTTGAAATAACAACATCCTCTACACGGACTCCACCTTTGCTTTTCGACTAGTCCTTGAGAATTGAAGGGCTTTGCTTGCAGGAATGAATGCAGTAAATAGAAAGGACATGGTGGCAAGCAAAAGGATAAGTGGCAGAAACGCAAAGTACTCTTCGCAGGCAAGCATGTCCAGCGTAACCAGCACAGCTCTGCTAGTCCTCATTGCAATTGCTAGTTTCCGGAAATAGACAGAATAGACACTATAGACCCCAAACTACTATATTGGGTGTTCCTAACGTACGGAAACCCCCGAATTGGTGCTTCCAAGGATCCAATGCCGTAGTCCTGCATGGACTCGGCGGAAGCTACAGCGTAGAAGCCTGCTTGATGTCGCATGGAGGAATGCATGATAAGGATGCTTGCACCCTCAACCCTCAACCCGAAGGGCTCGATTGAATGGACCATCTGTCGGGGCCCTAAACCCCCCAAAACCATAAAAATCCTAAACCCTAAATCCTAAACCCAGTGGAATTCAACATGTCCACAAAGGGCTCAGAATCACGAGCCATGACTTTCATGCCAGCAGATGAAGGCGCACGTAGTTGGTAAGGGATGTGATTCTATAACCTTAGACCCCAAGCCCTACACCCAAAACCCTGTGTCTTTTAAGGTCAGGTTAGGGTTTAGGGTTTAGGATTCTGGGTGTTTTCAGCCACCCCTATGTTGAGACGCAGGCGCTTGGCTTGCAACCTCACCCCTCTCAAGCCCTCCAGCGCCCCAAGGCCACGAAGCCTCCCAGCATTATCAAAAAAGGAGACTGCAAAGCTCTGTACAGCTTAGGGATATATGGGGTTTGGTTCCTTAAAGAGGCTCTATTAGGACATATAGGATTTGGTTCCTTAAATGGGCTTTAGGCTTTGGGGCATCTTCATGACTACAGGTAATATTAACATCCTAAAGCCATGCACCCAGAACCCTCAAGCCTTGCGTGTCGGGTGCCGGCCTGTGCCGGCAACAAGTCTCGCAGTGTCCACAGAGCCACAGGAAGCGCAGCAGGTGTCACCATAGCCTTGGATCCCACTTTCAACTGGCCAGCTTGACATAACCCTCAGGGGTCAAGTACCCAATAATCATATACTCCCCCCAAAACCTGTACTACAATCACAATTACCCAGATCCCAAATACTCATTTGTTGGATACTTGGACCCTAAACCCTACATATCCCCATATATTCCTAAACCCTACATATCCCCAGAAAATCCTAGACCCCAAATACCCCTCTATATATATATATATATACCCACACATCTCTTGGGTACCTGGACCCTGAGGGTAAGTCAGGAATCCTCCATGAAGCAGGACTATCCTCCGGCTGCCTTGTAGTTGACATTCCTGACTAGAGTATTTGGTTTCGAGTTTAGGGATTAGGGTTTAGGCGTATTATGAAACATTCTAAATTCCACCACAGGCAACTGTAGGCACACTCCCCCAAACTGACATGGAAACTCCCATAGCCTCCTTTTAAAGGGACTGTAGTCTTTATAGGGCCCTTTCTGGGTTTCCATGTTAGCTTGCGGGAGGGTAACAATTTGGCTATGGACCGGGTGATTTCTTGCCTCTACTCCTGAAAAGGTTGCCCAGAAGCGGGTGGTGGTTGCCAAATGATCATAGCCCGCACGCCTGAGCAAGCCAGCGGCAAGGGCTAACTGAGGGCTGTAGGGAGTTCAGGTGTCTAGAAACAAGAACCCTTAAACCCTAAACCCTAAACTATAGAACCCTAAACCCAAAACCAGGTCCTGTATAAGAGCTCCTGCAGTTAGACAAGCTCCTAGGTTGCATCGGGAGAATGCACGGGGTGTCCAAAAATATTAGAATATCGGGGGCTCTCCTTAAGGCGCCAACTACAATCATCCTTATATAAGGACCCGTCAAAGAGGAGCCCCTATTCGCGGACCCCTCCGCGAAAGACCCACTTCTAGGCAGAACCAGGCGGGTTCTGGGCCGCTGCAACTGAGGTGGATCAAGGACACCTCAGAAACCAGAACCACACCGCAAGCTGTACTTCGTACACTGAAAAAAGGCACAAGCCAAGCCAACTGCTATTGCCTTGCCCTAGCCCTTCTATGTTGCTCCTTGTCAAGTAGTATATTATGTAATCCCTTACCTAGAAAACCTAACAGACCCCACAAGAAAACTAGGTAGGAGCCCTTGGGTGAGCCTACGACAGAAGCTTCTGTCTGGGCCGGGGCACCACTCAGACCTTAAGGGTCCACCATACAATCATCATATACCTTGGGATTCTTAGAATATGAATGGTTGATAGGGATTGGAGGAGTATATAATAGCTGCGTTCTCTGGACCCTTGGGGGGTTTAGGGAAGTCGCAGCCTAAGGCATGAGAGTGTTGGGCTTAGAGGGTTCAGAGTCACGGCTCTTCAGCCACCATACAAAGGCTCCGGTAGTAAGTGGCTCTACTACAATCTCCCCCAAAGATACCTCCACAGGGTGTAAGGAGCTATTTATAAGGAGTGCATAGGGCTTCATAAGGCCGGATAGTATGGTAAGCCCTACAGTCCTACAGTACTCATTCTCAGCCACCAAGAAATGGAAGGACATGCTTAGGGTTTATAGTCCCCCTCAAGTAGATAGAATATGGGGTATATGGGGATCTCATTATCATGTACCCAAAGCCATATTCGATCTACTTAAGGGGGACTATAGGGTTTAGGCATGCATTTGGGACTTCTCGTGCCTAAGGGTCCAAAGACCCAAATGCTAGGGTCCCTTTGAGAGGGGTTTTTCAAATTCAATTAGGATTCAGGGGTTTATAGGCGGATATGTAGGGATATATGGGGACGGGTTGTAGGGCCCAAAGACCATCAATCATGCAGTACTTGGGACCCTATTATTTGGGTCCTTGGACCCTTAGGGGCAACAGGCGGGCCCCAAAACAAAGAACGGACCTTCAACACCCTAACCCCTCAAATCTCAGACGCCAATACCGAAAGCCGGAAAACCCAAATCCGAACAGAACACTCAAGCCAAAATCCCAAAGCCGTGATCAAAGACGAATGTCCCCAAACCTTACGAACCGTGAGGATCAACCAATTTCGGTTTTGAGCTTAGGGCTTTCGGGTTTAGGAGCTTAAAAGATTTAAGCCCTGAGCCCTCAGCCCTGCACTCGCTGAAAGCCCCGCTGCCTTCGCATGGCTTGCAGCTCTGAGTAGCTGGGATCCACATTCCTGGATTTTACAAGGCTGTAGGCCCCCTTAAGTAGATAGAATATGGCGTTGGGTATCTTATAACAAGACCCCATACACACCATATTCTATCTACTTCAGGGGGACTATAGGGTTCAGGGTTTAGGGCTTGAGGGGCTGTTCAGGGTGTCAGGGAGAAGTTTGGAGTTCTGGGGTGTGGGTTTAGGATTTACGGCTCAGGGCTTGCTTTTTTGGGGGGGGATTCAGGGGTTAAAAGTAATTTGCCTCATCCAAACTAACACGGCGACCCAGCCTAGAAGATACCATACATGAGGCCCTGCAAAGACTGCTGTCCTTTTCACAGCGGCTGCGCGGGCTTCCATATTTGTTTCGGGCAGGGTAAGGGCGTTCAAGGGGCTAGGCCTGATGGGGTTCGGTAGTTCAGGGCTTCTTGGTTTGGAGGTTTAGGGGTTCAGGGTTTGGGTTTTACAGTCCGTCCTTCAAGTTCCAGCCAGATCCTTAAACAAATCTTGTTTCCCAGAGCGCTGAAGAATCACCCAAACGCACAACACACGCAAATCTACATCGGAAGGGTTTAGAGGAAAAAGGTGACCCTAAGGGTCCAAGGACCCAAATAATAGGGTTTTAGGGCTCAAATACGATTATTAATATTGTATCTGGGCCCTGAAGCCCTATTCTTTCAGTCCTTGGACCCTTAGGGTGAGGGCTCAAGTTCGAAAGACTCAGCATGCTTACGATCGTTGAGCGCCTCCTCCTCAAAATCCCTTGTGCTTAGGTGACCGGGCGTCCCTTTTCATAGTACTGGCGCAGGCTTATGCAGATCAGAGCGATCATTCCCTAAATGCTGGTTCAGTGGAAAAAAACTGACCTTCACAACAGTGTGTACTATAACATACTATAATACACTACCCACAGCACAACTGCAGGGTTGTCATTTCTGCGAGAAGTCAGGGGCAACTTCTCGCGTCCTGGAACCCTACAACCCCACTCATAATCGACCCTAATCAACCCCTAAGGGTTTAGGGTTCGGGGTTATAAGCACCTAAACGCAAACCGAGCGGACATGAAGTGCAGGCTTGCGGCCAGCGCAGCGTCGCGTTCTCCCAGTACCTTCAGAGCTCGTACTGGCGAAAGGAGTTTCTCAAAATGATGAAATTTGGGACCCCTGTGGCTGCATTATTTCTGGGGCACACATGGCGACAGAAAAGCATGACGTCTATGGCATCGCACGATTGCGAACAAAGAAGCCTTCCAAAACCTCAAGAAAAATCTGTTCCCCCCCCCAGCTTCTCAAACTCTGAAGCCTCTAAAGCCAACCCCCTAAACCCCCTAAACACCCTAAACCCCAAAACGGCTAAACCCTACATACTAGTTTCCACTTAATTTTCCATTATCCCTATATCACCCCTATATGATACCCATATATTCCCTAAACCCTATATAAGCTGGCTCCAGGTGCTCTGCGCGTCGCGCTGCGCCTCCGGGAAGCAGATCCTCGGGCGACGGTCCGGTAACATTCCTGGCAGGTGAGGGTGTAAGGTTTAGGGGCTTAAGGTTCAGGGGTATAGGGTTTAGGGATTAAGGGTTTCGGGTTTAAGGGTTAGGGGTTGACGGTTTGGGGGGTTTAGAGGCTTAGGGCTTACAGGGTTTCGCGCGACCTGGCACCTTGGAGAAGTCGCAGTCAATTCTTGGGTGCAGGCTACATGAGGAGGGGTGAACTCACCTCCGTGAAAAGAAGTGCTCGCTAACCGATGCGAAGCAACACTCAATGCGAGCCATGTCTGTAGGTACATTAATCTGATTCGAACTTGGGCCCTACTTATCTGGGCTGGATCTTTGAGTTTGGGGTTTGGGCTTCAGATTTTGCAACCCTCCCCAGTATGCATCCCCGCTATGGTTGAGAAACTGCAGTCCAGCTTGGGCTTTGGGACTATGGGCTTATAGAGTTCCAGGTTTAGACTCCAGATTCATTCCGGACAGTCTTGAAAGAAGTTGCAGCTGAGGGCTTTTGAGATCTTTATGAGGATGGTATGCCATTAAGTATTCCTTGTCTGTGTTAATCTTACATGGCCAGGGGCAAGACACGGGCAAGTTAAGGACAACTTGCAAGTGCGGACTGCACACTAAACC